ACATACAGCTCACATCGATGGGGACAACCGTTCGAAGGACATACAGCTCACATCGAAGGTTACACCAATTCACAAGCATGCATTGATCATACCAACCCAACAACAATTAAAATATTTACGGCATAGCAAATTTTATAAGTAAAACCCACCTAGATACCGAGATGTAGCTAAACACAGAGTTGAAGGAACAATGGCAAAAGTTCAGCTCGATGAACCTACAACAATTATAATAGCCTATCAACTGACTATCCAATCCAAGACAACACAGAAAGCACATATACTTAGCCGAAATCGTAACGACTAAGTGACTCGTGGATTCTTTGACTGAGTTAAGTACTTTGGAGCGACTACTAGACCTGAACACAACTCATATACCTCAGGTAAAACACATAAATCATGCCAACATCAATAAAATCCAATCCGAACCTAAACAACGGATAATCGAGCATTAAGACTCTAAAATAAACAAAATTCAGAATCCAGAGTTAGACATAACCAATCAACCTGAAACTTTACCACATCACAGTGCATACAAAAACACATAATCTCACCAAGTTTCAGCCCTAAATTCATTCGGGAGCATTTTTAAATAATTTAAGCAAAAACAGTGTCAAAACCCAACCTTAATAGTTCATATAGCTACAATTCGAATTTTAATCCAAAACTTTGACACAACACAGAATACCAAAAAATAACATACTCCTTAAAGTTTCAGCTCAAAACTCCAAGTGTACGACTTTTAATAAATTTTACAAAATTCTGACCAGAAACCGATTTAATTAATTAAAATAGCTACAGATGAAGTTTCAACTTGAAATTTTACACGAGTTACAAATCATCACAGGACATCACATATAAAATTTCATGGCTGTCGGGATATCACCCGATTTATCATGAATTAATTACGATTCAGCAGCATGCTCGGTTTAGAAAATTCATAATTCGACATATACACATCGAAACGACCTCAAACCAAAACCAATAACTCAAGGACAACTCCAAGTAACTATAACTTAAGGATTTCCACGAAAAATACCACTCGAAACTCAGTTCGATAATAAACCAAAGTGACGACAATCACTTTGATATCCAAAACGCATATAAATTCAATATACGGTTCAATAACCTATCCAAAGCACGTAATATACTCGCATTTCACATGTTCAGGAACTTAGCATGTATACAAACACTTAAACACATATAGGGGCGGAATAAATAAATCAAGGGTTAGCCTGGGTACCGTTCTCGGGACAGGGTTACGAAACGGGGCTAAAATGTGGCTCGACAACAAGGGGGTGGCTCGCGCGTGATTTCGAGCATTTGCTGGCGACTAAGCGGGGCTGCTGAATGCTGAACTGGGAGTCAGACGTACGAACATCAATGGTTCGGGTATGGCCGTGTAAACGGCAGCACGCAAGAACAAACCGGGGCTCGCAAGCAGGTGCAGCAACGAACGGCAGCCGCACGTTGTCTGCCGGACGTGAGATTATGTCAGGGATGAACGAGCAGCACAAGGGATACGACCACTTTGACGATGGTCTGCGGGCAGCAAGAGATGGCGATGTCCTGAAGTCGCACACGCGTTGGAAGTGGAAAAAAAAAGAATACGCCGGGACTCGCCGGCTTTGTTCGGCACTCCGACGGAACACGACGGGACTCAACGGCTACGCTCGACACTCCGACGGGACTCGACGGGACCCAACGGCTAAGAACAGTGGTCCGGGGGCGTTCACGGGGCAGTGGTTGGTCGCGCGGTGGCCGGAAGTTGTTGGCTCTGGCCGGGACTTTCTGAAGGAGAGCTTCTCGATGATGAGATAGCACGAAGATGGTGGTGTTGCGACTTGCTGCAAGGAGACGATCGATGATGATGGAGCGCTGGTTATGTTGTCTAGGGATGGTGATGATCGAGAGAAATTCCTCCTCTTATTCGATGCTCTGTTTTCTGTTTTCTTCTTCTTCTTTTTTTTTTTTGCTGCAAATTCGCG